AGTAGAGACCCCTATCGGTTATGAAAGATGTGTGCTCTTCGTCGGCTGGATGCATGGGGATTTGATTGTATCCGGAGTAAGTGTCCATGAAGCTCAGCATTTCGTGCCCCGCCGTGGCGTCGACCATTTGATCTACTCGAGGGAGTGGGAAGCCATCCTTTGTTGAGGTCGCTGAAGTTGACGCATGTTCTCCAGTTCCCGTTGGGTTTGATTACCAAGACAGGATTAGATACCCAACGTGGATAATGCGCCTCCCGGATAAATCTATTGTTGATTAACTTGTCGACCTCTTCCTTCAGTGCTTCATACCTCTCAGGGTTCATTGGTCGCCGTTTTTGGTGTTTGGGAGGATACGTGGGATCGACGTTTAGGGAATGACACATTACTTTGGCGTCGATCCCCTCCATGTCGAAGTGGCTCTAGGCGAAGACATCCAGGTTCTACCTGAGGAAATTTTCAATCTCGCTTTTGAGTGGTGGGGTCAAGTCCGAACCTATTTTTAGTATTTTGGTGGTTCCGCTTTCGCCAATCTGGATTTCTTCCAACTGTTCGACGGGCTGAGGCCAAGTAACTTCCTTTTGAACCCGGGGGTCTATATCCTCAACGAGGCCTTGTTGAACCATCCTCATTTCCTGTCTTCCCGGCTGGTCATATCCGCGTAAGGCATCGGAGTATGCAATCCTGGCTTCGTATTGGTTGCTCTTAATTTCTCCTACGCCGTTTGGGGTGGGGAATTTAACCTTTTGGTGGTAGACGGAGGTTACTGCCTTCAATGCCTGGAGGGTTGGTCTCTCGATTACTGCGTTGTATTGGGAGCCTCCTTTGATGACCATAAAGTTGGCCATCATTGTTGCCTATCGGGGTTTTTCTTCGGCGGTTATAGGTAGTCGGACAGTACCTTGAGGAATGATGGAGTCTCCCGTGAACCCGTACAGTGGCCTGGTGGTTCTTTCCAACTACCCCTCGTGGACCCCCATTTTCTCCAAGCAGTCGGAATACGGGAGGTCCACCGAACTTCCATTGTCCACTAAGATTCGACACACGGTGTGGTTTCTGATCACTGCTTCCACCACCAGTGCGTCGTTGTGGGGGAAATGGACTCCGTTGGCGTCATCCTCATTGAAGGCCACGTCAGTGTGGCTATGTCTCGGGATTTTTGCGGCGGAGACGTTCCAGAACCATTCCTGGTATACCCCCTTGGCCTCGTGGGCGTAGTCCTTCTGCGACCTCCGCGTGTCTCCTCCTATGTAGGGGCTGCCGAGGATCGTTCGTATGACGCCGACAGGTTCCCGATCTTCCGGGCAGTGGTTCTCCTCTCGGCGTCCACCGTCATTTTGCCCGCCATGGCCGTCGTTGCGAGGTCTTCGTCCGGCCCTAAATTCCTGCAGCCTTCCCTCGCGGATCACTCTTTCGATTTCATCTTTGAGGTCAGCGCAATCATTCGTGTGGTGGCCGACCTCGCCATGGAACCTACAGAATTTCTTCTGGTTCCTTTGGTTAGGATCCGACTTCATTGATTCAGGTCGGCGCAACAAGTTTCCTCGGCCGATCTGGTTGAAGATCTCATCGACGCCTACTGTCAGTTCATGGTAGGTGTCGTATTTCTGAAACAGCTGAGGCCTGCGGGTATCCTCCTGTCTTGGCTTCTTGGCCTCCGGCGCTCCTTGCGTCGGGGTCGGTTGTTTGTCTCCGCTTCCTCCTCCTCGACGCTTCTTCCCGTCTTGCTTTGATGGCGCCGACCCCTGCTCGGCTCCTTTACCCTTATTGGACCTATGATCGGGGTCGTTGGCATCCGCTTCTTCAGCATTGATGTATCCTTGTGCCCTTGTAAGGAACTCTTTGTAGCTGGAAGGGGGTTTTCGGTTTAGTTCCCTTTTGAAGGGAGTTATCTTCAAATATCGTCGTTAGGTTCTGCTTTGGGGGTACGTATTTTTTAACCCCGATGAACTGGAGGAAAAATGCTTCCTTTAGTTCATCCCAGCTGGAGATAGAGTTTGGCTTCAGCGTCCGGAACCATCTTCGGGCAGAATCTGTCAGGTGGTTCCGAAAGACTCAGCACATGATCTCCTCGGCGTATCCGTGCAAGAGCATGTGCCCCGTATACATTTACAAATGGTCGTCGGGATATCCTCGTCCGTCGTAAGGTGGAATTGACGGCGACCTGTATTTATCGGGGAGAGGGGGTGCCATTATCTCCGCGGTGAACGGATGGTCATGCGTGCGACTGGGCGTAATGTCGATGTTTACCACCTCGGCCACCTGCCCAATGTTCTTTTTTAGCCCCGCGATGTCCCCGGTCAGTCTTCTTTCCAGGTTGGCCATGCGTTCCATGAGGGTCCGCGCTTCTTCTGTTGATACAACTGAACCAGCAGCTCCCGGCAAATTATATCTCTACGAGACTTATAACGGTACTTTCAATTGAACCACTTCTTAGAGAATCGGATCAAAAAAGAGTCTCAAGCAACTGTAGTTCTTTATTATTCTCTTTTTCTTAAATCGGCATGTGGGTGGGTTTACACCGTTCAATCTCTTTTTAGTAGCTTTCTCAATGATCAAAACATAGGGTATAATTACTTTAAAAAATCATACAAATGTTGTAATTAAAAAAATTTCAGGAGGGCCAGCTACTCCCCAGGCCTCGTTGGCTCCGCTCCTGTGTATAACATAAAGATTTTTGTGTACTTTCTATCAACATTACCCATTTGAGTTTTGAGGCTCCAAAAGTGCTTCAGCTTCTGGTTTAATATTTTGGCTCTGCAATAACACCAATGTAGCTCATCAACATCAAATCACCACTTAATACTTATAACAGAAATTACCAACTAGCTACAATAGAGGTTAACATTTATGACCTCAAAATAGAATCTGTATTCCATCGGACCGAGTGGAAGACCATATATTGGAGCAGTCATATTTGGATTCTCTTCTTTCAGTTGCAGGCTTCGGAAACTTTCTGAATAAAAAATAGAGGTATGAGAACTTAAGCTGGGATAAGGACTAGAGCCCACAATTACTGGGTTGCTTTGCCCATTTTCCCATGGGAGATCAAAATAGGGAATGCTCCACTGAATTCCCCAGGCAAATTCATAGTACTTGTTGACGGTTGGATTTCGCCAATAATAAACCCGCCGGATTATCTTGAGGTTACCCTTTGGATTACCGGTTTGTGGGTTTAATGAAAGTGTGGATTCTAGTTTGATTTAAGTATTTTTGTGTTTGAATGAACTGTATGTAAATGAACAAGAAGAATTTTATAGTGGTTCACTCTATAAAATTAGAGCTATATCCACTGTGTATATTATATTTCTTCTGTGGAGGTTATAGTTTACAATCAATCTTATCTCTCTCTCTTGTTCTTTTTCCTCTCGCCCCTCTCTTCCCTATTGGGGTCCTTCTTTTATACTCAGGCTTCCTTTACTGGGTGGGTTTCCTTCGTAGGTAGGAACACTTAAGTGCTCTCCCTCTCTAGGCCCATACATAGCCCACTAATTAGTATTGTTCACTCAACCAATTAGTCTTCTATTACGGCTCTGTGACTCTCCGTAATGCTTTTCTGTCCCCTGGGAGGGCGGTTTATAAACTTGCAATTAATACTGTCAGACTTCTCTTACTTTTGCACGTAACCCGTCGTGTCTTAAAGGGACGTTCCCCTCGTCGTCGGTGCTGTTTAGCCTTTCTCGCCCTTTCTAGCGATCTTTTCTGCAGTCGAGGGATCTTATCGTGTCAACCCAGGCGGAGTCAACCGTCGACGCCTCATGGGGTCGTCGCCCTAATCATGGACTTCATCTTCGGGCTCTACAGCTGATCTTGAGGGAAACGAAGCGTCGAGGGTTGAGTGCTTGGCGGAAAGCAAATATAGCCACGTGTCGTGGTACCGTTGGTCCAGGTGTCCATCATATTTTCTCACACAACACAACTAATACATGATCTTTTCAGAAACAAAAACAGACAATGCAAAACTTTGTCCTTTGGGGGCGGGAAGAGATAATTAAATAAAACATGATGATGTATATACTATCGTCTAATTGTTTTTAGATTAGATTTTTTTTTTTAATTCATGAATCATAAAAGTCGAAGACTATAGGTATAGGTAAAAGGTAAAAATATCAGGCAGGGAACGTAGACATATATACATGTCTTAAAAAGAGAATAAAATAAAAAAAAGAAGGAGATGATGATGATGATATCCCTTGATTATAAGTATTTTCTTTCGACCATATTTTGGGCTAGTAGTTATGCAAGACTCTGTTTATTTTATCGATTTAAATTTAAAATTTGAGTTTTGTTACAGTAAAAAATTTTAAAAAACAGTCATATTTAATTTTTTTATAATAAAAAATTCTTAAATAAAATCACATCTTAACACGAATTAAAAATTTAAATCAGCAAACTAAACGGTCATTTAATTAAACCACGTATCTTTACTCGGTTTTTTCATTTTTCATTTTTCATTTTTTTTTATTTTTACATTTTTCGCGATTTATGGCTCAAGACCACTTTTGCGTACTGAATGAGCAACAGACATGAAAAGTCGAGTGCAAGGACTTTCAACGTTGGTCAAAACGCAAAACGATGTGAAATGATCTTTTTTTTTTTTTTTTTTTTTTGAATTAATGCAATGAAAAATGTTTAGACCACTGGTACTAAAAATTAGCACTAATAGAATGTAGACTCCATAGGTTTCACGCTGTAACAGTGACAAAATCAGCGCTTTAATTTAGTGGAGGCATACATTATATTTTATTTTATTTTTTTGACGAAGTAAAAACATGAAAAATATAAAATAAAAAAGCACAATATTTTTCAATAGCTACAAAATACATATATGAAAAATTTATAAAATATATTACAATAGAAAAAGAGGAGATTTCATCTTTTGTAACTGTCTCTTTTTTTACAAGAGCGTACAATGTCTTATGTTCTTTTTAAATATCTCCACATTACTGTAATAAAAGAAAAATTATTATAAATTTCAAAATTTTATTTTATTGAAAAGATTTCTAACAAGTTAGAATCTTTTCTATTTTATTTTTTGCTAAAACTGAATTTTCATTTAACCAAACGACAGTCTGTCCAACGGCGCACAGATACAAACTACAAAAGACAACGACACAGAAACAATTGAAAACTACTGCGGTAATTTTGACAAATACCCTTTAAAAGTGTATGAGTAAGAATTTTTACTCTTTATTCTTGATTCAACTTTTTAGTCAAATAATTATACTAATAAAATGATACTTATTAAGAATAAGAGGTTAAAGTGTAGACTCAAACACTCCTATGAATAAATTCTTCATTTTTTCAAACAAGTGATGAAACCAAACTAGAAGTAAAACGTAGGCCCAAGTGACCATAAAGCTAGAAAATAACTTATAAAGAAGTGCCCCGTTCACTTCGTCGATTCGAGTTTAGAATTTGAGTTTTGCTACAGTAAAAAGTTCTCAGAAACAGTCACATATAACTTTTTTGCTACAGTAAAAAGCTCTCACATAAAATCACATCTCAAGTCGAATTACAAACTCGAATCAGCGAAGTGAACAGAAATACAACTAAAGTTGGCATCACATCAGGGAATGAAGTAACAAAACTTCCAATCGTTTGACAATTCACACATCTTATTAATGAAAAAAATCATTTAACGATCATTTTAATTTGTCGTTCCAGTCATAAGGGTAGGCTAGATAAAAGGTCAAATGTTAAAGAGTAAAGTGAAATAAAGAGGGCATACAAAGAAATATATTATTTGAATGAGGGCCGTATATATTTTAGTCGGGATTTAGTTGTAAAATCACCAAATTTTAGGAAGTAATATTTTTTTTCAAAAGAATTTGAGTGGGGGCAGTAGGCTCATTGAGTATTATGTACCTCTGTTACTGAATTGTGGGATCCACGAGCAATATTAAACATCAATAGTGCCCAATAAATTTTGATCGATAATTATGGGCCTGTTCACTTCGCTGATTCGAGTTAAGATGTGATTTTGTGTGAGAGCTTTTTACTGTAGCAAAAAAGTTAGATGTGACTGTTTCTGAGAGCTTTTTACTGTAGCAAAACTCGAATTCTAAACTCGAATCGGCGAAATGAACATGACCTCCTGCTTGCTTTACTCGAGGGTTTAGTGGCCGGTGAAAATATATACCTAAAAATTGAGTTTTTCTTGTTTTGTTTTTGTTTTTGTTTTTTTGCTTTTTTTTGTTTAAGTAATAGTGATGTTTTATAATTAACTTATATTGCTTAGCCAGTTAGCCCTGCAATTTATGTATGTAGACACACACACACACACACATATATAATTTAGAAGCTCCAAAATCTGAATGCAGTAATCTAGAGATAATAATTTGGAATTCGAATACACGCATTTAAAACTAACATAAAGATGTATATATGGATGAATTTTCCGTCTGTAGGTTTCACGCTGCAACTGTGACGGAGCCAACGTTTTAATTCAGAGGAGGTGTACACTATAATTTTTTTTTTTTGACGAAGTAAAAACATGAAAAATATAAAATAAAAAAGCACAATATTTTTCAATGGCTACAAAATACATATATGAAAAATTTATAAAATATATTACAATAGAAAAAGATGAGTTCTCTTCTTTTGTAACTGTCTCTATTTTTACTAGAACGTACAATGTCTGATTTTCTTTTTAAATATATCCACATTACTGTAATAAAAGAAAAATTATTATAAATTTCAAAATTTTATTTTATTAAAAAGATTTCTAACAGGTTAGAATCTTTTCTATTTTATTTTTGGCTAAAACTGAATTTTCATTTAACCAAACGACAACCTGTCTAACGGTGCACAGATATAAATTATAAAAAGTAACGACACAGAAACAATTGAAAACTAGTGGGATAATTTTGACAAATACTCTTTAAAAGTGCATGAGTCAAGATTTTTACTCTTTACTATTGATTTAATTTTTTAGTCAAATAATTATACTAATAAAAAAGTATTTATTAAAAATAAAAAATAAAAATCTAGACTCATACATTTTTAAGAATAAATTCTTCATTTTTTCAAACAAGTGACGAAACCAAACTAGAAGTAAAACGTAGGCCCAAGTGACCATAAAGCTAGAAAATAACTTATAAAGAAGTAGAAAATACAACTAAAGTTGGCATCACATCAGGAAAGGAAGTAACAAAACTTCCAATCGTTTGACAATTCACACATCTTATTAATGAAAAAAATCATTTAACAATCATTTTAATTTGTCGTTTTCGTTCCCCGTAATTTCTCCATTCATAAGGGTAGGCTAGATAAAAGGTCAAAAGTGAAAGAGTAAAGTGAAATAAAATGGGCATGGAAAAAAA